ACCAGCAATCCCAGGGCAGTCGTTTTCCCCCATTAGTAAGCATGTCTGGATTGGCAGTGGATGTGCTGGGACCTGTCAGGGGTTTGGGTGCAGTGGGGCTGGGTCCTGCAGAGTGGTCTGCACACAGAGCGGTCTGCACACAGAGCCCAGCCCAGGCTGATAGGCAGTTTGAGATTATGTCACGCTTCTCAGGTTTGTTGCACATTGTTCCCCTTTATGGTGCCAAACTTGTAAACTTGTTTTGCTTGCAAATAAGTAGAGATGCAATACTACCTGAGTTACGCTGATCTATTTACTTTCAGTGTTGAACTCTAACTTGGTGCTGGCTCTTTTACTTTGAACCTGATACGTTACTATCACAGACAGCCTTTCCTGCCGATGAGAGAAGCCTCCCATAGAAAAAAGTCTGAGGGCTGTATTCCCCTCTTACCAACAGCACACATGTGCTGTGTGTGTCAGGAGTGGAGCTGTGTGTGCAGGGTGCTGCCCTTGAGTAGGACCTTATTCCGGAGTTGCAGTGGCTGAGAACACAAAGCAGTACCTCTGATTCCTTCAGTGCTCGATCCAGCTGTCAGCAATGCATGCTGTGTGCCCAGACAGCTGGCCCTGCAGCGAGGTGCTGCTCCTCCATCTTGTGCTTCAGTTCTGACCATACAAATGGAACTTATAGATGTCATGTCCTTCAGATTCTTCAACAAACTGGTCCCAATTGAAGGATGAGAGGAAAGCGTTTCAAGGCACATTTTTGCAAACACTGCCATCTCTGCAGAAAGAGAACTTAAATCCAAGTTTTGTTTATCCTCAAAATCCATTTTGAGTGACACTTCTAATTAGGACTTCCAATTAGAAGAGATACAGGGGAGTCGACTCTTTACAAGGGTAGATAACAGCAGGACAAGGGGAAATGGTTTTAAGTTGAGGGAGGGAAGATTTAGGTTGGATGTCAGGGGAAAGTTCTTTACAGAGAGAGTGGTGAGGCTGCCTAGAGCTCACCAGTATTCTAGAGAGGCTGTGGATGCCCTGTCCCTGGAGGTGTTCGAGACCAGGTTGGATGGGGCCCTGGGCAGCCTGGTCTGGTATTAAAGGGGAGGTTGGTGGCCCTGCATGTGGCAGGGGGGTTGGAGATTCATCATCCTTGAGGTCCCTTCTGACCCTGGCCATTCTGTGATTCACATTTTGAGAAAGGTGGTACAGCTTAGTGTTTTCAGAGGAACAGCTTCAAGTAATTTCTTTTTAGGCTGATATATTTTGATCAAAAATAAGTAAGTTATGTGGTATACAATTCATGGAAGTCCAAGAAAGTGATTTTTTGGTAGTGCTTTGTAACCACTTCCTGCCTGTGTCATTGAAAATGGAAGAGGACTTGATTTTTGAAGCCTTTCAGGCTTTTAGCAATGACCAGTCGGTTAGGAGAATGAGAGTGTTCAATCGCTGTAGCCAGAGGTTCAGCTAAAAGCACTTAACTGGGTGTCTAACAGACCATCTGGCCATCATAATTTGGGGTAACTTGACCTCAGAGGTAGTTGGTTCTCATAACCACATTCAAAGGCATCTCAACCCAGCAAGGTGAGAGTTTGCACTCTCAGCACTGAAGGCTGACTTCGGGTGGATGGATTCATGGCTCACACATAAACCTGTGCACTGGAGCCTGACTTCAGCACATGAAGAACTTTGTGAAATGAACCCTCGGGGAGCACATCTGACCTCCATTTAATCGGGTTTCAGGGAAGTCTGGAAAACAGAGGGCTCTGCAGATAACTGCAGGCTTTTGGTTAAGTGAAAGTTTATAACTGTACAGGGAAGGCAACGTAGGCCATAGAAGTGGCAAAATCCCCCAGAGATGCTCTGGGATCTATGGAATTAACATCTCTGAGTAGGCAGGATTAGACTGGATGCAGAAGGTTCTGTAGATTCTGTAGATGATGAAGTTGACAAACAAATGCATTGGGTGGGACTGGCCACTTTGGGAGAGCAGCAGAATGGGATGAAGCAATGAGTAAAAAGGTAATTAAAGCAAATAGTGTTGGAATAATGGGGCACTGCTGTTACCCTATGAACTGAGGGCTTCCGTGGATTTCTGTTGTTGGAAAAGAAGTGGGTATTTCTGCTATCCAAGCAACTGTATGTGCTTGTTCTCCCCAAAATGTAGGCATGAAGTTTTGTTTTTTTTCTGACACTTAATGCTAGTCCAGTGGAAAAGGATTAATTTGGGGGCACACGAAAATAAATATGCATGGTGCAAGAGACAGCTGGGAGGCACAGAGATGCAGGGGCACAGCTGTCTCAGGGTGCGAGCAGAGCACCTTCTTTTGGCCAAAGGCTGCAGTGCACCCATGGCCAGGTGGGCTGCAGGGGATGCACAGCAGGCAAGCAGAGCTGAATCATGGCTTTCCATCTTGTGCATAGCTCAGTTTCTCCCTCCCTCCCTTCCTGAGCTCTTCCAGAAAGAGGGATTCCAGGTCACTCCTGTTTGGAGCAGCTCCAGCTCTCCCAGCTGTCCCTGGGGATTTGTGTCCCAGTGACGGGCTCCCATCACCTGAGTTGGGGACAGGGCTCAGTGCGGGGCTGTCTGTGCTGCAGGGCCACTGTGGCAGTGCTCCCAGAGCACACACAGCCCTGGGGAATGCCCCACTCAGCTGTGGGGCCGGTGGGATGGTATTTGGTAACGTCACCCTGGCTGCCAGCCACTGAAGCAGATGATTTATTGTTTTCTATATGAATCTGCTTTTAAAGCTTCTCATATAGCATTACAGATGATATCATGCAGTGTTAAGTACTTACAAGATCTGTTTCAAGCTTTGGATGTATGCAGAGTTACGGTCTTGGCAATCATAATATTTGGTCCTCTTTTTCTTTGGAATTTGAAGCTATTTGTGTTCTGCTTTTGTTTCTCTGAGTATGCTCAGGAATGGAGATGTAGCCCATTTTGTGTTCATCATACATTTGCTCTCTACTCTCTGTTGACACCATGGCACCTGAGGACAGGTTGCTGGATCACAGTTTCTTACTGCACTGCAGCAGAGGAAGGAGTTTGCAGTCCTTCTGCTGAGCACACAGGGCTGGGTCTGCAGCAATTAAAAGAGCTAGAAGATTTCCTTGAGTTCCTGCATTGCTGTGAGCTGACACAAGGCCATGGGGCTCCATACAGCAACCACCAGATGTGCAGTGCAGGGTGTGTGTCATGGAGCTAATTTGGTTGTTGCCTAGACAGCAAGGAGTTAAAGAGCAAATGGTTTGCAGATAGGTGTCTGGAGAAAATCCTGAGCAGCACTGTTCGTGTAAGTGGATGATCCACTTACACATTCCTGCTGCAGTAACCAGAAGCTGAAGGAGCTGAGCTCATAGGCTGAGCCTGCTTGTGTACCCTATGGTAGTTTGCACAGTATGGATTTGCTAATGAAGGAGGGCCACCGTAATCATTACTTATGCAGCATCTCAGGAAAGATTAATGGTTGTATATCTAGCTCTTCTCATAGCCCATTAATCTTCCCGGCAGTTAATGAGTCTTTATTGATTCTGTCAGGTAGGGTAATTTCCATTTCTTTCATCAAGGCATGTTAAATACATGCTTATTTACTTTTTTTTTTTTTCTTTTTTTTTTTTTCCAGTTATCTTTTGTTTATCTGATCAAGTCTGGAAAAAATAATTGTCATTAATTCACTGACCTGAACCTGGGCCAAGCTGTTCTGTCCCATTCAGCCAGTAGAGAACTAATCCAACAGAAATATGCATTATATTCCCCTGCATTGCCACCTTGAAGTGTCTCAGCACTGGCTCCCTGCAGTAATGGTGCTGCCACAAGGACAGGAACATGAGCTGAAGTCTCCATGAAGTCTTGAATGGAACAGAGGCCAGAAGGAAGTTGTGATTTCAGTATATCTACTGATAACTGATCAGTATATCTACTGATCTTCCTTTCAGTAAGAAAGGAAAAACAGAACGAACAAATCTTCCTTGAAACTCTTTCTTCCCACAAACAAACTCTGTTTTTATGAGAGATTTGCACACATATTCACATTTATCAGCATATGAAGGGAAGCAGCAGAGGTAGAAGCTGACAGCAGATCTCTACAGCTGTCAAAACAACGACAGCCATCAAAACACGAGTCTTGTGTGCACATCTCAAACTTGGCTATTTAATCTCTTGCACCAGAAGCTCCCATGGCAAATGTTTTTGGAACATGAATGGTCAGAATATATCAGAAAGAAAGCAATAGCTCTGACATCTTGGTCTCCATCCTCAAAAGGCACTGGGAATTCCAAACAATCTAGTAATAGGAATGCATAGTTTCTGTATGAAAAGTCAGCTGTGGAAAATAGTGTATTTGAAAGCATCCTCTGTTCCATTCATCACCATGTATCGTAGAAGCTTTCCTTGTTTGCAGTTCCTTTTGGGTCTTTTCCCAGTAAGAGGTCCTACCCCCTTTTTTGACCATAGGCTCCTGTGTTAAAGGGGAACACTGGGAGACTTCCAAGCTGGAATGGAGGGAGAAGCAGGTAGTGAGGTAATGCCATGAAACTGGAAGTTGTGCTGTTGTAAACCATGGGAACAGCTGACCTGAGGAATCTGTGAGATTCTATTCCTCTATCATCAGACACTGAATAATCTAACGACTTGTTTCAATTGCCCTTTGATCAGTCAAAAGTTGCAAATTGTTGGTTTAATGAATCACTAACAGGGAAGATAGAAGTAAAAATATAAGGATCTTATCAAATAAATGTTGGGCACTTCACAGGCATGACTGAAGCGACCTAACCTGCAGATTTTAAATCTCTTAGGATCTGTTGCAGGCAGCTTGGTTCAAAGCAGCCAACGAAAGAACAGAGCTGCAGAAGTCTGCCTAGGCACCACTCGTGGAGCTCCTGGAGGAGCAGAGTTGCATTTTCTGTTTGGTAAACTGCTGACTGTGCTAACAAACAGTGTGATCTTTGAAACTGCAAACTGAGCGTGTGCCATCCCTTTGAAGGACACATGCTGAAACGCAGGGTGATCAGTTCCAGATAAGCCAGCACAGTATGTCAGTACCTTCAGTGTGTCGCACAGACTTGCTAATAGGGGACAAAACAAAAGCCACGGAAACAAAAGCAGCTCAACATCTTGTTCTGATGAAATGAGAACTCTCCCTCCAGTGTCTTTTAATGGACCATGGGAGACTCAGGATTCACCAGTGTCTCAGGAAGCTGCAGCAGGCAATGGCAGATGGCAGCTGGAACACAAGGTGTAAGGATGCACCCTTCTTGTAAATACAGCAGGAGGGTGGAGGCCCTGGGCTTCTTTCCATACATGACTCAAATGAATCTTCTGCCTAATTAGTAGCATTTTGAATTCAGCTTAAAAATCCTATAGTAATCCTGTCTAACCAGCTTCTCGTACGTAAAGATTAATTTTTTATAATGGCAGTTTTCCTCAGAGCTTTCTTTCAGGTTGCCCAGGGCAGTTATTTGCTAGGGCAGCCTCCTATCAGCTGAGATAACAAGGGCAAAGACTGACAGTCCAGCAGAGTCTGGGTTGTGCTCATTTCTGGGGGAGCAGTGGATTCTATCAATGTTGTTCAGGCTTAAATAGAACCAAGTGTCTCATTGGGAAAGTATGCTGGGGAGAAAGGGCTGTGCTAGGGGGCTGCATACCAGCTTGTGTTCCTGTTGGATGACTGACTGACAAAACCAGCACTCCTATATAACCTTGTAGAAGTCACTAATGAAGCTTCGGTGCCTCACAGTGATGTTGGTGATCCCAGGTGATGGAGACATGCTGGAGTGTCTGACTGGCAGTCTTCCCTGCTGGGTGCTGCTGTCAGGAAGGCACAGCAGAGACTATGTAGGCATATTGAAATTGGATTTGAGATCACATCATCTAAAAGATCTAAAAGGACCCTTGTATTCTTCCTGCAGTTTGCAATTTGCTACTGTTACCTGGTTCTTCAGGTCAGCATTAATCAGGTCATAGTTTCTGAACAGCAGTTATCCGCAGCAAACCACAAACACATCTGATTTTAAATGTAGCTTAAGAGGCTGTTTGGTAGGCAAAAACATCTCTAACCTAGTGGTGAGCCTTTGGGGACTGTGTGGCAGGTGACAAAGGCTGGAGATTTCCATAGGTATAGGAATCTGATTGGTAGCACAGACTTTGTGCCCTTGGAGGTGGCGTTGCTGCAATGAGGGATCTCTGTCCTCAGCTGAGCACAGAACTAGATGGATACCAGAGCCTCAGTTTCTTCTTCCAAATAGCAAAAATTAACATGAGTAAAATCCATCTCCATCCTAGGAACATGTAAACATCTGGACGAGTAGTTATGAAGATTAATGTTATGCACAGGGTCAGAATTCCCACTGACATTTGCTCAGTTTGCCCAAGCAAGTTAGTGGAAACCTCCTGTGAATATGAACTGCACTCTGCAGCGCTGCGCAGGCATTTAACATCTTGGATGCCAGTTTCCTCACAGGCACATCTGTAAGTCTTAGTCTTTAATTGCTTTAAAACATAATACTGGGAGTAAAAAAAATCATAGAGATATGTGTAACTTTTAAGACTAAGTAAGACTAAGTAGAAAAAATTAAGCAACAATGGAGTTCTTCCTGACTTTGGACTTGAAATCAGTCCTGACAGAGCCAGTTCTTCAAGGACAGTGGGTGACAGCTGTCAGCTCTGAGCAAAATGTTTTCTGCAGTAATGATCAATGCCTGAAATAATGCTGAGGTGCAGCAGTAGCTCTGTTGGATTCACTGAAAGGCAGCAGCTGCTCTGAGTACAACACTGAGCGAGAATACCTGCTGTCTCATGCTCAGTGGTTATGCTCAGTCTGTGCTTGTGGTCAGACGCTCACAGAGGTACTGTTGACTGCGTTGGGGTGGTGAACTTTATTAAAAGCATGCCATGTTTTGGCAATAGAAGTAACGTGCATCCATCTGAGCGTGCAGGTTTGAATGTGGCTGCCATAAGGACGTTCTATATTTGAATCTGGAAGCAATGTGACGCTTGCTATGCAATGAAATGGAGAAATAGACAGACTTTTTTAGTGTCTAACCCCCTCCCAGTCCTCCCCTGTTCTGAATGTGCTGTTATCATTACACCAATACTTGCTGTGTAAGGAGTGTGAATGTGCTATGGACTAATGTGGTTATCTCCATATGGCAGGAAGTTGCTTGGTCAGAGATCATCTCCATACTGGTGTAATTCCAGGCGTGTTGCTGGTTTTAATAATATAATGACGATAATTGATGTTCTAAAACTGGTAAGGTCAGTGTTCACTGGCTGCTACATTTATTTGGCAGCCAGCTCGGCAGTGTGAAGAATTAACACGAAATGAGGCACAAATCCCACATCCTGCTCCCAGGCCTGATAACAGAGTGGGTGCTCCAATGAATGGCAGTGCTGTTCACTCCTTTGGCACTCCTTTCTTGCTGACCATCTCTGCCCAGGTGTGCCATGCAGCAGGGTAAGATGGGGTGAAGCCGGGGCCAACCTGGAAAACCTTCACCTGGCAGTTTTGCCATGGCGAAGTTAATCATGGCATTTGCTGATATTATTCCAGGCTTTTTTTTTTTCCCTTTGGATGTGTGCAGGCTCACAAAGCAAAGGCAGGATGGCTGTTGAATGTATGTTAATGGCTATAAGAAATATAGGCCCCAGTTTGCCAGTTGTTCTGTCAGGTTCTCAGGCAAGAATGTTTAGGGAGCTTTTTCTTGGCATGGTGCAAAGCCTGGAGCTAAGAAAAGAGCCCAGGGAAGATAATTTGCCTTTTTCCATGTTCAGCATTTCCCACCCGGTGTGAACCTAAATCATGTGGATTTCACTACTGGCTCTGCAATGTTATGGGGAGATAAGGCGGTAACAACTCATTTGTATCCCCAGATGAGATAAACCAGAAGCACATCTCCCCATTTGTAAGTGGCTTCCTATCAGAGGTGGGAATAACTGCAGAGCACTAAGCTGGCAGTCAGCAATGATTAATAATAGTAAATCCTTTGCATAAATAGAAAGGTGGCATTTTGTGTAGTTCATTTATGGTGTTTCCAATGCGTGTCTGTAATTCAATTATATCTAGCTTTCTGTCCAAGAAATTAACGTGCACTTGCATAATGTGTTTGAGCTCTCATGTTCAGGAGGGAGAAATGAGTGCTCTGCCTTTACAAGTGGAGATTACTTCATCCATAGCTTTTTGGGGAGTGAAAATAGATTTATTCTATTTTTGCATGTTCGTCTGATTCGGTGCTGAAATCACTGAAGCAAATTCAGCAGCCCCCGATGCATTCAGTTCAGGATCCTGTTCTGATTGATGATGGAACAGAAGAAACGTGTTACTCTGCATTAAGTAAGAGAAAGAGACTGTATTGAACACTGAGTTTGCTCATTTGATTTGTAAGCATATGAAATAGCCTGCCACATTCTTCAACTGAGCACATAAATTACTTGAATCGTGGTTGTGTGTTCTGTGTTTGCTGTTACCATTGGAAGCAGTTTTATCAGACTTCAGTCCCCATGGTACTTGAGAAAGTTGTAAGAATGCAAAGCTATCTGAAGGTCATTTGCAATCTTAACAGCAGAAATTACTAGCTGCTGTCAGCTATTATAATAGTGTTGATATGTGGCGTAGCAGTTTTACAGTGAAATGGGAGATGTATCGAAGGTATCTGAAACAGAAGCAGAAAACGTGCCTTTGGTGTGCAGGCAGGAGGATATTTCACTGTCAGCTCTGAACACGACCCCCATATTACAGTGCGACACAACGACTCTTTAATGATGGAGGCTGCTGACAGTAAGACAGGCACTTGAAAATTCCTCTTCACCAAGCATTTTGGAGGCAGCTGGCAGACTTCCAGAAGTGTTCTGCTGGAGCTGCACAGCAGGCACATTGAACTAGCCTTGGTTGTGAGCCAATTTGCTACGTGGCAATGGATCAGGATTCTCCAGAGAGGCTCTTCGGTCTCCATCCTTGGGAGAGCTTCAAGAACGGAGTGGTTGGTCCTGAGCATTGGTCTCATAGCTGACCTGTGCTAAGCTGGAGGTTGGACCAGATAACTTTGTGAGGTCCTTTCCAGCCAGGATTCTCCCACCTCCTGAGTAGGCTCTGCTTTACATGGGAGGTGGGAGAAATTTATAAACCAAAATGTTAGTTTAAAATGTTTTTTGAAGATGAGTTTGCCTTTTTGAAGTATCCCACTAGTAAGTCTGCGTCTTGGCTTAGTTGTGGCTTGGAGAATAACCGAGTATTTCAGGTCATTTCCCAGTTGCTGAGGGAATACAGTGGGCTTCTGAACACGATGGGTAAAGGCAGCTGTTCCACCATAGCCTCGCAGTGCCTGCTTGGTGTTTTTAGCATAATGGTCAAAACAGATGACATGTCTGCTGATCCTACATCCAGATTGCTTTGGTGGGTTGGGGAGGGCACTGCACCATTTTATTCTTCTAAATTCTTGTGTTTTTTGTCACTTAGGATCTGACGGAACAGCAGTGCCCTGGAAACATCTTACTGCACAAAAATCAAAAGGAAATTGGAGATTGGCTTTGTTAAGGACATCTCTTGTTCTGTGGCGCTGTTACACAATCGTTGCACGGAAGTGTCTACAGGTGGTAATGAGGAGGAATCAAAGCTTCAGAGGAAGCTGCAGGAACAGCTGGACCTCCTAAGAGCTGCAAAAGAAGATTCCCCAGCTAAAACATGTCCACGGAGAGCCATATGTGCATAGCTGTTAGGATTTTGGAATCGGTGTGGTGGAATGACAGGGAGTTGATGGGTAAATATTAATTGAGAGAGCAACCCCTGCCAAGAAATTGTTTGTGATCGTGTTGCCTTATCTTCATGCAAAATATTTACCAAGTCAAATACTGCCATTTAACTTACCATAACTTTGTAGTCATTGCACAATGACTTGAAGAGAAGGCCCAGCAGCCTGGCAGCCTACTGGTGTGCTCTTGTGCTGTTCCAGGGGCAGTGAGACTGTCAGCATGGCACCATGTGCTGGGAAGCTGCTTTCCATTCTACGTGCAGCGTCACAGGGCTGTGCTGAGCCACGTGCCAAGCTGACACTTTGTCCTGGCCAGCTTTGGGCCAGGGGATGGAAGGGTAAGCTGAGCTGTTGGGTCTCTGTCATCTGTCTGAAGGGCTTGCAGAGATCTAGTGAATGGAGCACAGTGTTTGGGTTTTCTTTCCAGAGCTGGCAACGTACAGGTGTAAGGTTGGTAGCATGGAGAAGACCATACAAAGAATATAAAAAAGAGGGGAAGTTCATTTTTACAATATTTCTGCACCTCCCAAAACATTTTGGGTTTTTGTTTTTTTTTTTTTTAGTGTTTCATTTGCTCGGAGTCTGACCTGGGATATCACAGGGATGCTTCTCTCACTTCTGATTCAGTAGATTTGTATTTCAGGGACTCATTTGCATTGACAGGCAGAAAATACTTCTGTTTAATTAGAATAAATTGTTTTATAGTTGAAGATGAAGGCGACCCTGTAAGAGCGCCACTCACATCTTTAGTTGATGCCTCATGCCTACAGTTGATGTGGGAACCCTACTCCCATGCCAAAGGCACAGGCCATGTGTGCACTGAGTAATCACAAATTTACACATCGGCATTACTCAACCTCCAGGCAACGTGCGGTCAGTTTTCATTTGCACTCTTAAAATTGTTTCCATTTAACACCCTTAAGCAGCTCTGCGCATTGCAGTGAAATATAAAATGACCCTCACGTTTGCTCTCCTGCTTATTCAACACGACCGTTCCCCGCTCGGCGTGGCAGCGTGCTTTTCATGTGGCTGCCCATATGCCCTGCACATGACTGTGATCTGGCTCCCAAAAGAGTATGTTGTGATCTGCTCGCGTGTGCCAATTCACATATCTAAACGTTTTCATAAGGGGAACCCCTTTGTGTTAGTCATCTGGTTGTCAAACAAGACCTGGCTGTGATCCTGGACCTGGCACTAGATGAAATATGTGCACTTTAAACATTTCATACTGAAACTGATGGGAATGGGCAATTCCTCAGTACATTTTCTCAAGGTTTTTAAACAATAAATGTCAACCTAAGGGCAAAGCAAGACAGATTTCAGATTAAAGAGACGGGCTTTGCTTAACATCTATAAATCCCTTGGTCCCAACCTCCTTCATGGTTTTTGAAACAAGGAACAAGGAAAGGCTGTGTCAAGCGCAATGGACACTTTTGTCAACACAACTTCTGCCTTTGGTAGCATGATAGAAAGATTTCAAAAATAGATTTTTCTGATGGATTCATGACTTGGCATCCCGTAGAGAATCTAGTATTCTTCCAAGCAAAGCTAAAGGTTTGTGTTAGAAGGCTAGCAAAGCCAGTCAAAAGAGCCTTTCATCCTCGAGATTACTAAAATATTCCTTTGTTTATTTTTCTCCTTCAATTACTTTTCCTGTCTTGGTTTAATCTGTAGTGCTGAAGCTTGTCAGCACCTATAGCCTTTTGTTTAGGATAGATGCCTTGGGAGCATGAATAAAAACAATTTTCATGTAGTGTCTCCTTGTCACAGCTGCTGCCTGAAGCCCATCGACTTCTCTTTCCAAAGACCCGATTATGCACACACAAACAGAACAGAGCCTGGAGCCAGCAGTTTGATGTTGCTCAACGCCAGCGATGAGCCCTCGCTAACCTGGTGCTCCATCATTTGCAATAGAAGCAGCAAATTTGTTTTCTCTCCCACTTTTCAAAGGAAAGGTTCACAAAAAAAATATAAGTGCCAGAATGCTTGTCTTGACTGTGACTTTAAGTTTTAAAATATTTTAATATGTAAATTCTAGAATTTGCAGCTGCAGGGAGAAGCTCTGAGTAGGAAAATGAAACTTGTATTTGGAAAATTAATTCTCAAACAAAAATTCCCTGTATATGTTTTCTTTTTCTAGGAAAGTGATTTCTTGAAACTTCAGCATATGCTTTCCATTTGTGTGAGCTGGCACTGCCACGAGCCAGAGGAGGCTTGCAGCAAGCGGGGCTGTGCAGGACTGGCACCTGCTAGGCTGTGCTTGGTTGCTTGGGTGACTTCTGGACCTTCTGGTACTGTGAGTGAGCCACACTTGATGGAAAGGTGATGAGCATTTTTTCTTGATCCCATGCCATTGTGGAGTGGTTGGAGCTTGCTGTCATGGACAGTCTTGTCTTGCAGAGAGCAGCGCATCCCTGCAGAAGGAGAAATGCTGTAGTCGTTCTAGTTACAAGAGAAGCTTCAAGGAAAGTTTGTATTTAATTATTGTTAGAAGTGTGCAGCAAAACGGATTTGTTTTTAGCTCTTACAAAGCCATATGCCTATGTCTCTGGATCCCAAAGCCACATAACAAATGAAACAAGCAAAAGCAAGACCAAATAGCAGTGATTAAATGTCTCTATTCCAGAATCGGGTGCGTACTGTGGTCAAGACCGGCGGTAGCAGAGTAGCCAGGGTGCATTGCTGAAGCAGGAGAGCAGAGAGGAGCAATGGGCTGTGTTTGTGGGGAATGAGGAGCGTGGGTCTGTGTGCACCCTGGGAGGGGGCTCCTGACCAAGAACACAGTCCTGGAACCTGCTGTGCAGTTGTTTGCAGCTGGAAAAATGCAATGGAGAGGTGATTCTTCATGTAATTCTTAGGTGAGCCCTTTGAATCAGTTGGAGCTGTTTTCGCTAACTCATTCAAAACTAACATTTTATTCTGTCCCAGTGAGCTGGAGCAGCCTGGCTTGCTTCTCATAGGGTGTCTGTCCAGCTCCTCTAAGACAGCGGAAGGAACCAGAGGTTGTGATCATGGTTCAGTGACAGAGTGAAGGGATGAAGGTCATTCCTCTCACGGGGACAAAATCTCCTCCTACTCTCTGGCACCACTTCTCTGCTCAGTGTTGTTCCTGCTAATCGGGATGCTTTGAAACAGAGAGAGAGGATAGTGGGAGGTGCTAGAAGGAAGGCTGAATTAAAGGCAGAAGAGAGCACAGTGGGGATACAGACAGAAAAACAGGCTGCATGCTGAGCACGTTTAAAGGGGCACAGCTGGAACAATGTTGGAGCTTTGCATGTATGTTTGCCTGTTCCCATGTTATTTTTCCCCAGTATTGCATACAGCATGGTTCCCCCACAAGGTTAAAGATCACAATAATGTTTTATGTAGGTAGCAGAATACCCTGTGTAGAGGAAGTGGTACATGATTTTACTTAGAGAACAGAGATTTCATGGTTTTTAACACATGCAAGGAAATTTGTCCACTGGCATCTGCTGTGAAGATGATATCCCTTTGCTACAGGTCAAGAAGCAAAAGCATCTGCAGCTGTGAGGATGGTGCTTGCAGAAAACACTTGTGCAGGTATCTTCATTCTGATTTGGTTCCCATCTAGGAAGAGGCATGTCCTCAGGATGGCTGCTGAGTGCCATCGGCACTGGGAGAGAAAAGAGCAGATGTATGGCTTTAAACCAAGATATGAAAAAGCAGGAATCTGAAGTTAGCTTTAAAGTTATTTGGGCTGGAGTATTGGTGGGAAGTGTCAGTGGGCTGCAGCTCAGAATCTGCACTAACTGCTTAGCTGCCTGGCTTTTTCTTCAGCAGTGTCACTTGAGAGTCTTCATGTGCAAGCAGAGGACACTGATCTGCCCTGTCTTCCATGCATGCACATTCATTCAGTGCAGTTACCTTTGGAATTGAGCACAGACGTATCAGGTAAATGCAGGTGGATGCAGCCAACAGTAAAGTTGTTTTTCTTCTGTTGTGCTGATGCACGGATAGCAACCCCATCCCAATCTTACTGTTGGGTCATCAGTCAAGACTTGAGGACTGCCAAAAGTATGGCTCATCCCTGAGCTGTTTGCAGTTCAGCATTTTACGTATTCTGGGCCTGTCCAAGCTGAGCCAAACTGATTTTTGCATCCAACAAAGAAATGATAGGATGAGAGGGAATGGCCTCAAGTTGTGCCAGAGGAGATTCAGGCTGGATATTAGGAAGAATTTATTTTCAGAAAGAGTGATGAGGCATTGGAACAGGCTGCCCAGGAGGTGGTGGAGTCATCATCCCTGGTGGTGGTTAAAGAAAAGGTGGATGTAGCACTTAGGGACATTGTTTAGTGGGCAGTATTGGTAGTTGATGGATGGTTGGACTAGATGATCTTAGAGGTCTTTTCCAACCTTAATGAACCTGTGATTCTGTGAATATATGTGGAGTATGTGACTGGCAGAAAGGATAGATGTTGGGATGAGAGGCCTGGGTGCAGGTCTGATAGCAAATGACTCCTGCAAATTGGGCAGAGTAGGTTTCTGCTCTCTCCATACTTAATTTCCCAGCGCTGTTTGGAGCTAGCTGGGAGCAGGAGATAGTGAGATGTCAGCAAGAACAACCTCTCCAGGTGCTGTGATGAGTGTGGAGTATACAGGTATTTCACAGAAAGTGGTGACAGCATGATCTGCATTACCTGGTAAGGTGATACATCTGTGCATACCTGTGTGATTTTATATGTGTGTATCAGTGGCCTATTGTTATGATGTGCTTATGTGGCACTTCATTTGTGGAGTGTACCTTGTGTTGGTGGTGTTCTCAAGCAGGGGGAGACATCTGTCAGGCAAACACTAGTAAACATCGTGCAGCTGTATTTTGTTAGGGTTTCATTTTGCATTTTCCTCTCTTCTCCACCTCAGCACTCCTTCAGATCACACTGGCGTCAACTGTGGTTATGGCAAAAGAAGATAACTGCTGTTAACCCTGTAAGATGCTAGCATAAGATGAAAGCATTTTCTTAATGCACTCAATCTATGACCAGTTGTTTTTAAAGCTGTTTGAGAACAGCACAGAGAAGACATTTTGCATTTGGTCAGTCAGAAGTTGGTAACTGTTTTAGAAGCCTGCTGGAAGGAAGACATCAAGAAAAGCTTTTGCAAAGCTGTGCTTTCACCTCACAGTGCTTTGCAGAGATACATTCTTGGGTTTGGTTCATATGGGTTCATTTCTCTGACTTTCACTTTGAATTTTGGAATCAAAGGCATTTTAAAATTCTAGGTCAAACTTATTAGATAACACTGTATCTCACCTGGTTTCAGCTCTTTAAGCAGTCAGAAGCAGTGCCTCCCCTGCTGTGGTCCTGATACAAATCTGTGAGTCATCACGTCAGCGCGTTTGAAGCTCGGCCTAGCACTTCTGTCCAGAGTACGGCATTGCTCACAAAGTTCATGGCTTCTCCTTTGAACAGGGTGTTGCAGTGAAACAGGCAGCAGGTCAGATTTCTGAGTAGATGGCAAAGACAGCACCCAGCTTTCATTTTGGGGATTTTGCTAACATAAAGCCGCCTAGCCAGGAGGCAGTTTGGGCTGTGTTGAGTTTGTGGCCACAGATCCCTGATCTTGTTCCTTTGAGCCAGAGCTGGTGTCCTTTTGGGAGCATCAGACGCGTTTGCTTCTGTCCTGGATGCCAACATTCAGCCGTCATGGCCGTGGCTGAGGTCTCCATTCTTGCCATATAGGCTGGAGTCTGCAGCAGCGGGGCTTAGAACTTGATGCAAGTGTGAAGGGAGAGTTCTGAGCACTGACCGCTCACGACTGTCTGATATGTCAGAGCTCTGAGACCAGGCCAGAGGGAGGGTGAATACAGTACTGGGGAGAAGCCCCTTCCCCTCCTCCTGGTGGGGGGCAGTGGGGCTGGCCCTGGCCCTGTGCAGCACAGCTGCCCCTGGGGTTTCCGGGAATTCCCGCCTGTATGTGGTTTCTTAACCAGTCCTGCAAAAATGTATTTTTTATTGAATGTTATTCTAGCCATAAAACTTTTAAGCTGTTCAAATACTTTCCTTTGTACAGTAGACATCTGAGACTATTAGGCATTAACAAGTAAATGTATTTTTTTTTCAACTGCTTCAATCTGCTACGGAGTTTTCTTTGGACTGATTCTCCTCTTGTCTTGTACCAGAAGAAACATTACTGTGATCTGATATTGTATCTCCTCACTATCTGTCTCCTCGGATTGTAGACGTGGATGTGTTTTATGTTAAATTACAAAGGGACTTTATTTTGTGGCAACCAATTAGATCAGATAGCTCACCCATGATCCAGAAATGTTTAAAGTCCAGAGGTACCCATGTGATTCACTGCAGTCCCTCTGTAGAGCCCATAGATTGTGGGGTGAGAGCTTGGGCTTTAGTAAGGCTCAGCTGGAAGATTTTAGGAGATGAATTTCACTATTTCTTTAGCTGTTTAATAATGAATGTAACCCATTTTTCAACAAGAGCTTCACGTCACTGGAGCTGTTGATTTAAATGTACTTCATTATTTGTTGTTGGCATCCCATTAAGCAACAAACAGTGAGAGAAGTATCCTGCCCCAAACTGTATGAGACAGGAAGCAAGCAGCATTCTTGTAGTTGTGCAAGCAATTAAAGGAGTGCCAAAATTTGCTTAAACTCTTCTGGATCTTATAGAAATACTTTGCCTAGTATGGTTAACCATACACCTGAATTGTGCTGTAGGCACTTATTTCAGTGGCCTGATATTCCTGTTGTGTTGAGCTTCTCTGGAGGGGGCTCTTTTCCTGGGATTTCAGGAAGGTTGTCTCCTTGCTGTGGTTGGTAGGATCAGTTCTGCCCTGAATGCCCACAGCCCAGGCAGCCCCGCTCTCACGTGAGGCTCATTCCATAGCAGGTGCCAGAGGCTTTGCCCAGCGCAGGTTGTTCTCAGCCTGTGGAAGAAAGCTGTGTCACACCTCTCGATTTGTTACATAATGGTTTTCAGGATTGAGTAAGAAACTGGTAATCCGAAAATGTTTATCTGCTGTTGCATTTGATTTTGTGCAATATTGTGAACTGCTCCCTATCGTGTAAATGGAAGGCAATTAGACTATGAGGTGAAGTATAAAAAGGAAACGAAAAAGAATTTGAAGAGCACCATGCCAGTGATAAGACTTCTAAACCCTTTGCACATCCATCATTTGTGTTGAGGATATGGTTCTGGTCCCTCTGTTTTAAGAAGGGCACTGGGGAATGTCTCCTAACATTGCGGTAAAGATGATCGTGGGGATGAAATAGCCGTTTTGGGGGAGAGATGAGGGATGGTTGTTGGGCAAGGCAGAGCCAACAGGGCACTTGTGTTTTCAACCTGCAGCAACATAGGTGAAGTAGCTCTCTTCTCTGCTGGACAGAATGACTGGAGGGGAATTCTTGGGCCTTTTACTCATTGTTTATGTAGTTTTTGTGTCTTTAAGCATAGTGTAGTGTAACCCAGAATAAGTAAAATACAGTAAAGTTGAAATATATGTGAATTTAATGCCTGAGAAACAGAAAATGTGTTATGCAGATGAGATGCATTGACTGAATCAAATGCACTGAACTTCAGAGCCAGCCCTTCTTTGTAAGCACATTAAGAACCGTCCATCCCAGTCTTGTCAGGGCATTCCTGTGTGCACTACCAAATGAGAGTCTCAATTCTTTTTGGAAAAAAAAAAAAAGAAAATTTTGTTTCCTATTCTGTCTTTGAGTCCATCTTTGCAAGGAAGCAACTGGTCTCTGAGAGGAGGAGATGCTGGTGAGGCTTCATCTCCATCAGGCAGGGAGGGAAAGCATGTTTTCAGAATTTGCTTTTAGGATTACAGGATTTGAGTAGACAGACACACACACACATAGGAACTGAAGAATTTTGTCTTAATGTCCTTGTCCATTCATAACAGTGACGGAACAGAGATTAAACGTTAAGCTTAAAAGAACAAAAGCTTTGGAAAGGAAAATTGCTTGTGGCTTCAGAGCTGGCTTGGAGTATGTAGGCAGGAGGCCTGGAGCTTTGTATGGGAGTTTGGTTTAACCCTGTGAAAAACATCATGGGAGAGAGCTGTGAGAACTTCAGCAGAGTTTTCTGCAGAGTTGAACTTGGAAAGATAGGAAAGGTTTAAGCATGAAGACAGGTTTTTTTTTTTTTTTCCAGGAAAGCAGAGTTCTAAAATAGTACCTCAGAGGTGTTTGTAGCATTAGATTTTTTGTTCTTAACTTCTTGTTCAAAAAAAACTTCGATTGTTATGTGTAGGAAATTCCATGTTTGTAGCTTATTAACTGTTTTGCATGTGAAAAATTTCAGTCAACACCTAAAAAATTAGTTCATGATGGTTTTGCCACCTGTCCAGTAGGAACTGTTTAACCAGCCACTGACTTTCAGAACTGCTTCCATAAGATGCAGAAAGGATTGGAAGGTATTTTCCTAAAGACAGATTATAACATCTTTAATTTCAAGCCTGTTAGCAGCTGATAGCCTGTTATCCCAAAACCTTTGCACAGATCTTGACTCATAACCCTCACAATTATTCTTCATCCCACGAATGTTAATATTTACTATATAGTCAATCTCTGAACCATGGGGAGTCATTGCATGCGTGGTATCACTTGCACTTCAGCTGCATAAAACCATTAACCTTCCACTAATACAGTTAGGTCATAGAAGTCACACTGATGCTGAACTTGTGTGCTCTGTCCCAGGCAGGGATTGGCACCAGAGCAGGTCGCTCTGAGCCATAATTGTAAATTCTCTGGGGCTGGAGTCATCAGCCAGTAATCCTCTATGCACAGGCTCCCCCTTATGGAAATGAAAGATACTAGACAATGCTTTTTTCCTCTTGTCTCAGACAAAACTAATAGTTTGTTACTATGAAGACACTTCTCAAGCCTACAGTAGTATTTTTCAACTCACCGTTTTAAGTTCAGGTGATTATGGAGTGGGAATATGGCAAACATGAATGATGGTGGCAAGTGTATGTATTTATACTCAAAGTGATTTGAGCTCCTTCTGAGGTTGGAATTTCTTGTGATTGCCTGATGGTGAAGAAGGGGACAGGACCTCTTCAGATGTTAAGAGATGCTGCAGAGTAAATCATAGCGGTAGCCTCCTCTGTCTTCAGAGAAGTGAAAGAAAGTCAGTGGGATAAAATAATTTAGTTCTGGAATAGTCATATTTTGATGCTTTACAGTGGATATTTTGGATTGGATCCCGATGGATCAGAACCATTGCAAGAGTTAGAAATACACACTGTGGATTTTTCCCTTAGCCAATTCTAGTAAAAAGTTTCAAGTTGTTCAGTGAGAGATACCACATGTAGACTTAGATATGCTCTTGCCTTATTGCTTTGTTTTCTCTGTGCGAGAGCAGATACAGTTCTGTGCTCAGGCTGTTCTGACACTCTCTAGCACAGGTGCATGACAACAGTAGGCTAGACAGAGCTTTGGATTTGCTCAGTGGAGCAGCTCCTGTGACTGCAGAATATTTCCTGGTGCTGAAGTGCCATAGTTAGAGCTGATGCTGATCAACATCATCCCACTGATGTCCTGTGTTTTGGTGAAAGGCTCTGACAGCTTGTGCAAGTTGTGGTGACAGCAGTTCTTGCTCTTGCGAGACCAACTTTCTGTAAGCCATATAAATGGATGTTGTTCAAACAATGCCTGAAGGGTCTGTCTGGCTCCTAACATCATTGAAAATCAGATAGAGAGATTGCTCAAACATTTAAAATGCTGGGTAACAACAAATAGTATTGTTAGTTTTTATAGTGCCTGTATTCATAGTATCAAACATATTTAGAATATATTGAAGATGCTGGGCTGGGCCCTTACCTCACAGGCAAAGTCATTCCTTTGCCAGAGAGAACAGAGGGGAACATATGTCCCAGGGCAGGCTCTAAAGTACCAAAACTGGAGAGGCACATACTGGTTTTGGTTTTTAATTTCATTTTTAGATTTTATTAGTATTATTATTTTGTAGTGTTCTTCTAAATTGTTTACTGCCCAGTTTTGAAACCAGGGTCCTAGTGAAGCAACTGGAATGGACCCTCATGCCAAACTTGAGTCCTTCTTCCCGTACAAACTCAAGTCTTCTGCTGGGAATGGCTCACAAAGTGGCTGCGGCCTCTCTGCTTTGCCCATGTGCTGAAGGAGGTTTAGGCCTTCATGGGATTTGTGCAATGCCCTTCTGTGTTCCTGGTCTCATTTCAGTGCTGCTAGGGAAATTGATTTTAATTACACATGCTGCTAATCACCTGATCTCATAAGGGGACATGGCTGAAAAATAAAGAAGCTAGAAAAAGGAAACAAATTAATTTATGCACTCTGGGGACAGGAGGAGTGACTTGAGTGGTGCATGGGAAGAGAAGTGCTGGAGAGCAAAAGGAAGCTGAGATGATGGATGGTGTGATTACAAACCGGGCAACGCTCTCTGCTTTGGCCACAGCGGATGAAGTGAGTGAAGCTGCACGCTGCCGTGCTGCCCATCAGAGCCGTGTCAGTTACCCTGAAACCAGAAGGCCGACAGAGAGGTTTTTCTCTTTCCCTCACAATCTTCTTTTTCAGTTGTATGAATGAGCAGTGAGGACCAGTAAAGCAGAATTCAGAGCAGTGATGTTTCTCAGTATGTTTTCCCTTCATTTGCTTAAAACAAACAACATTTCAATTTTCTCTGGCTGCATCTTTGAGTTTTATTTTATGCAGTCATTTTAAATTTACTTTGATATCTGTCCTTGTAGCTGTAGACTGTGTTCCTGTGTTCTGCAATCCCAACTGAACCAAACTGCGAGTGGAAGGCCGGTAAAGAAGCACAGCTGCAGTTTTGTGTTTCAGCTCTGTTGTAAAGCACAGGGATTGCGCTGCAAAGGCACGCGGGAGGGACCACGATGCCACCTGGACCAGTTTCAGTGTGCCTGAAGGATCCACCCTCCTCCACCAAAGCTCTTGTGCTGGGAGGGATGAATCTGGGTAATGAGCTCTGTGTCTCAGATGCGTGCTTCCTCAACAGAAGTATGCAACTGGTGTTCTGTTGTCAGGGTCCCTGTTTCTATAGCCGTCAGCAGGGAGGTGGCTCAGGACATCATAAGGCCATGGCAGTGCGACCCTAAGAATGTCCCATGACAACCAAAACATGGCTGTGTTGGGTGAGGGGAGGCTATGGCCTGACATTGACCTACTTGTCACAGTGGGATTCTGCGGGGCTCAATTTTAAGGTCCTTTCTCTGGAATGTTTTCACTGTTGATTCCAATAAAGATCCGGCAGTTGTATTGTATGGGAACTGCTGAGTCACGGCCTGAACCTCTGATTGATCACCTGAGGTGAGCCATGAGTCAGCCAGAGGAGCACAGCTGAAGGCAATTCACCCGTGCTGCTGGAAGGGGTGGAGCCAGGCTCCCTGCGCCCTCCTAGACCTATTTAAGAGCTGGCTGCCAGTGCTGAAGGTTCTCTTCTGGAGATAGCCTCTGCTGGTGTTTTGTGAGTGAGCCCAGGATAGGGGTAAGCCTTCTGTTTATCCTTTTTTGTTATGGTAGTCTGCTTTGCCTAACTCTCTTGTTTATTTTGTGATTATAACATCCTGATGTTCTTTGATTATACATGTATGAAGTGAATTTGTGGGTGATGCTAAGCTGGGAGGAGTGCTGACTCTATGGAGAGTAGAGACCTTGTTCTGAGATCTGAACGAACGTGAGGGTGGACCCTGTCTGTATGAGGAAGAGCAAGAGCTGGGTTTTTCATGTGGGATGGGGCAGCCCTGGCTGTGTGTACAGATTGAGGGGCAATGGCTGGAGAGCAGCCCTGCAAAAAAGGCATCTGGGCATTCTGGTGGTGGCAACTTGAATCTGAGCTGGCAGTGCATCCTGGCAGCCAGAAGGGCCAGTTGTACCCTGGGCTTGTCAGGTCCAGCACTGGGGAAGCGAGGGAAGCGCTTGTCCTGCTCTGCTCTGTGCTGTGTGGCCTCAACTGTGGAGGTTTGGGTGCCACAACACAAGAAGGACGTAAAGCTATTAGAGAGTCCAAAGGAGGGCTGCAGAGATGGGGAAGGGTCTGATGGCACGGTGTGTGAAGAGCAGCTGAGTTCCCTGGGTTTGCTCTGCCCAGAGCAGAGGAGCTGAGGGCAGCCCTCGTGGTGGCTGCATGGTGGCTCCTTACAGGGGGTGGAGCGCGGCGCCGGGCTGTGCTGTCTGTGGCAGCGACAGGGCCCAGGGAACAGCATGGAGCTGTGCTGGGGGAAGGTCAGGTGGGTGTTATGGAAAGGGTCTGCACCAGAGGACGGTGGGCACAGCACAGGCTGCCCCAAGCTTTTTTGGCTCAGGGAGAGCTTGGACGCCGCTTTAATACATGGCGTTTGAGTTTGGGTTGTGCTGTGTGGAGCCAGGGGTTGGACTTGATGATGCTGTGAGTCCCTTCCAACTTGGGATATTGTGCAATTCTGTGATGTAGGGGGAAGCTATGGGAGAGGTGCACAGGAAAGGAGATGCTCTGTATCTGTTGAAGAGAACTTGCCACATTCCTCATTTTCCATTTTATGGACTTCTTAGACAGATTGAAGGGCAGGGAGGAGTGGGGCAGAAGCAGCAGTAAATGTGTCTGACAAGGTCATAGGAAGTTGTTGGCTCTTTCTCACATTGCACGCTGTGGCTCCCTTCCTGACAAACTGGACAGCCAGCACTCTCTGCAGTGTCCCAAACCATACTCAATAATTTTGATTGACTGGGAAAGATTGACCAGTTATTTTTTTAAGTGTCTAATTGAAGTGCATCAGCATAACATGAAAATCAAAGAAATCATAATAAGCACTGCTGGTGTGGGAGGGACATTGCTGAGGCTGCAACATTAAAGAGCAGATATATCTTAGCTTCTCTTCAGGGTACATTGAATATTTAATGCTGTTATATAGACCAGTTCTGAAAATACATAGACCAGACCTGAAAATTGTGTCAGAAGTTCATTTTGCACCTTTTCTATAGCTATGGTGGCATGTGCAGTGAAAACAGATTGAGTACTTTTTACTTAAAACGATGACAAATTCACATTCATGTATATTGTAGCTTTCTCACCCGTTGCCTGAGCTGATTGGCTTGCCAAGTATTGAGAGAGGTTCTTATAGTAGCCATAAAGAGTATCCACCAATAGATCTGTTTCTCATTCCTTTATGGTCATAGTGATTTTGTTCACAGTGAGCACCAGTGTTCCAGTGGGGGTTGGACTCTGCTGGGAAAAAGAAATATTCCCAGTTCACATTTTCCCTTTGCTGAAGGATCCACCCATGCGTAACATGGAAAGTGCCTTGAATGAGGGAGGGCAAACTGCATCACTGCTGTTGCGCAGCTGGAGCTGCTGTGCAGGCAGGAGCTGGACCTGGCTCTGATGCTCCCTGAGCCCCATCACGGTCACATAGGCCTTTGTGGTACTGGGAATGGTTAAAAGCAGGCAAGGATGACTGTGCATGTTTCAGAAACACTAAGGACAGTAGTAGGATGGCTATAGCTGTCTGGAAGTGATGCCTGGATTGATGGGACACCTTGGTTACTCATGGCAACAGGGCAGTTAAGCCAGCAGGCACTGCAGGTGAAGGTGAGAGTTAGAGGAGGCCAAAGCATTTGAATTTGGCTTCCAGTTAATTCTTTCAATTCCGTGATTTTATGACACTAAACCATTTATGAATTTGCTGGAGATTTGCCATTTGTTTCCTGTGCTGAGGAGAAAGGAAAGCCCCTGGACTTAAGACGGCTTTGCCTGAGTGCTTCCAAAGCATGACACTCCCATTTTATTTCGCATCACAGAATGGCCTGAGTTGAAAAGGATCACCATGATCATCTAGATCATTGTGTTTCAACCCCTCTGCTATGTGCGGGGTCATCAATCACCAGACCAGACTGCCCAGAGTCACATCCAGCCTGGCCTTGAATGCATCCATGGGTTGGGGCATCCACGACTTCCTTGGCAACCTGTTCCAGTGCTTCACCACCCTCTGTGTAAAAGTCTTCCTCCTAATATTGCATTCATTTAAATAGGTATAGAAAACTTCTCATTTGGAAAATGCATGTTGCTTTGACAGCAACATGAACCTTTTAGTTTCCTGGCACTCGTGGGTTTGTTTCGGGTGCATGGGTGAATGGAGCACCTTGGCCCTGTGGTTCCGAAGCCACTGCACGCAGAAAGGCATGGCCAAGGCCTGCTGCTCACAGAGGGGAAAGTGATGTCAGGCGGCTCCTGCCAGAATGCAGACCACATGCCTCTGTGGTTGGGTTCGGGTTCAGCTGGGTGCTTACCCTTCTCTAATTTTGCGGTAGCTGAAGTGACTATCAGTGTTATTCTGGTGTGTGATGACTTAAGGAGGAAGGCTCCTACCTTGGCGTGATTGTTTGCACTCCTGAAGGCAGGGATTGAAATGCACCTTCTAAGGTGGTAAATATGGGCAGAGGCCCATGATCCCCACCCGCAGATGGAGGATGGGTGTGAGGACTCTGGGTGAAGGCAGCAGTGCCTGGTGCTGGGCTCTAGTAGCAATTGGTACAGACTCGTTATGCCTGACATCCTTCCCTCCGTGCTAATCATTTTTCCATTTCAACAACGGCTGTTTACAGCAGCTGCTGCCTTATGTTTAGTTTGATCCTGTTCCAGATTTTGCAAGTGATTAAAATGCTGCTAATAAAGATATTTTAACTAGGATTTACATGTTGATTTGCCTTTTCCAGCTATAAAATGCCTTCCTATTGCTTCTTTTTGTCATCTGCACTGGCACAACTGCCTGCTTGGCAGTTCTGAGCACCCAGGCAATGCTCATTGCTGTCAGCCCGGCTCACCCAGCCACCGCCGTCCTCCCGCGGGAGCAGCAGGGAGGTGTGGGCAACGCTCAGATTCTGGAAGGAATCCTGGTGTCCTTGCAGTGCACGATAGAGAGATTATCTTACACACATTCCCTTGTATGTTCCCTTGGTTTACCACATACTTGAATGATTTCTATTGGAATATTATAATTACATTCATATGGCCTAATGGCAATGGCAGTTGCAAAAATTTCCACATAAAGCCCTTGCTGTAGCCCAGGGCTCCAATGCAGTCCACATTCTCTACTACACCCATGCGCTGTGCTGTAGGGGAAAAGCCCCCTCACTAGTCTTAAAGAACAAGGAGTTTCCTGCCATGTTCTTAATCCTTTGGCTTTGAAACCAGCAGGTTTGCAGAACTGGGGTTGGAGGTGTGAGCAGTTTCCATCTTGCAACCCATAAAAGGTGAGCATGGGGTGGACACCAGCCCTGGCCTGCTGCATGCTGGCACATCCAATGAGGTACTGCAGGTAGGGCTCAGCAAACACCCCAACCTCACCTGGGGTTTTGGCAGGAAGAGTGCAGCAGCAGAGGGTGCTCTTGGTGCAGGAGCAGGGGAGAGGGCTTGCACAAAGCTGAGAGCTCCTTGCAGCAAGCCCAGCCGCGCTCCTTTCCCTGCTGCCTGCTGCTTGCCCCTCCTGCTGCAAATGCAAACTCTCCCTTCTGAACTGAAAGAAAAAAAGAAGAAAAAAAAAAAAGATGACTTTGGGCTGGTGCCAGCATGCAGAGATGTTATTGTGGATTGGCATCTGGCCGCGATGCTGGAGCAAACCAGTTACCTTGGAGGAGGCTGTGTAGGAGTGCAGAAAATGCACAATGTGACTCAGTCATTTTTAATTATCAGTGGAGAAGAAGGCAAAGCTCCTGGTGGGTTTTGTTCAGCAATTCATTCTGTAACTGCAGGGTCATGCCGTTGGCTAGGTTTGAATGACCCTGAATACATATCCACTGCTACTGAAATGAGTAGTGTGCTTATGTTTGATAAAGGAGAGGTAAAATTAATGGAAATTTAAGACGAGGCAGAATTCTTCAGAAATAAAGATCTAAAATACCATTTAATGAACACATTGTTGATTTAACATTTACTGAAAATCCTCTCTGAAGGGTACATGATTTGGCAGACGGAAAGCAGGAATAAGACTTGAATTCTGTGGCAAATGATCTGCTCTTTTTTATATCTCTTCATGTCTCTTTCCTCCATTTCTTTTTTTGTCTATCACACCTATTTAGATTGTCAACCCTTTAAATCTGCTCTGCATATATATACAGTCTGGCTTGTTGGAGACCTGATTTGAATTACGTCTTGAACTGCTTATACAGTACTAATTACATTAATAATAATTGACTTCAGTGAGCTTTGGATCAACCTCTGACAGAATACATTTACATCTCGTTAGTTCCCCTGATGGAGTCATGCTTGTGCTTCTTCTACAGACATAGGGGGACTGCAGGAGGATCTGTCTGTCCAGCTGCAGTGAGCCCTCTGGCTGGGATGGGGGGAGCAATATGGTGCCAGGAGCTCCTTGGAGCTGGCTTGAGGAGAGCCCAGTTTCCAGTGGATCTGTGCCGTGATACTGACAGATTTTGCTGTCTAAAAGATACAGTTCCCCACTGAAGCTTTTGCTATTTGACATGAAAAGCATGAGGGATGTGTCCACCGAGGCA